GTCATGGGTGGCTAACCTTATATTGCGATGTTTCAAAATCGTTACAAACACAATGGTTTGACTGCAATGAATGAACGAATGACCAATCTGGCAACACCATATTCCGAGAATTAACTCCTGTGTCTATCTAACACATTACACAGCGAGCGATTTCAGACGCCTACAGTCGTGCATACCGACATGTCCCATACGATAAATAAGCTTCAACAAGAGATACCATTGAATGTGAAGTCGCCACAAGGACTTACACTGCTAAAACGCATGGTGCAGAAAATGTATTACACTGCTAGAACGCATGGTGCAGAAAATTTATGAATTTCGGGGAATTTTTTTTTTTTGGGAATCAGTGTAAAAAATTTTTAGATATTAAAATCTGTAAATTAGAATATCTGATTCTATATTCTTTCTACATTAAAGGAGCGTTCATTTCGTTCATCACAAAAAATGTAGAAATCACACCATTTTTAGAAACATGCTTACAATTTCATTGCTCTAGAAGGGCGGGCATTTAAATAAACTCCGTCCAGCTGCCCCTACCGGAAATTAAATGGCCCATCCGATAAAGGTTAATCACTTATTACAAATAAATTATATATTCATTTTTATTATATTCAAAATCAAAATATTCTTCCAACGTATAAAATGAATGGCAACACAAAAAATCCTTCAAAGCTGATTTAAAACCTTTACAATTATTGCATAATTGCTTTAAGTATACAGGAAGGTTATTAAACACCTTGATACACATTTAGCATGTTCCCTTCTGATATAGTGATAGATGAGCTGGGGGTTGATAAAGATTAAGATTGTAACCATGTCTTGTATTTCTGTTATGTATATCTGATATAAATTGGTATCAAAGCTATCCCTGTAACAGGCCGTGGAGGCCCACAGGGTTGTGAGATGCTGAGGTACCCACATTTTCTAGACAATCGGCACAAAACATAATAAAGAATAAATATACTGAGACTGAAGAGGGATAATTCTTAAGGTTTTAAATTTAAGCACAATAGACCACTGTAGGTCGCAGTGCAAGGGCCGAGAAGGCCCGCCCCTTCTACATTCATTGCAATGTTCTAAATAACTGTCTACAAGAGTTTCTATTACCTGTCATTATTCTAAGTGCCCTCTTCTGCACATGAAAAATATTAATAGCTTATGAAGAATTTCCCCAGAAAGTAATACCATAATGCATAATAGAATGGAAATAAGCATAATAAATGATCAAAAGTGTTTCCTGATTCACATATGACTTAACAGTTGTAATCGCATAACAGGCAGTATTAAGATTTGGGATAAGTTGATCAACATGTCTCTTCCATGATAGTGTGTTTACGATATTGATTCCTAAAAACTTTATATAACATGATTCAGTAATGTTCTTGTTGCCATATGCAATATTAATACAGCTGTCCTGTTCATAGGAATTTTTTGTTGTGAATTTAATATAATGTTTTTTTTTAAGTTTAAATATAATAAATAAGCATTAAACCATATATTTCAAATTTTAAAAACTCCAGTTAATCTGTCTTGGAAAACCAAGGGATCAAGTTCACTAATAATTACACTAGTGTCATCAGCATAAAGAACAGGGGTAGAAATCTTATTTAGTACTAAAGGAAGATCATTAATATAAATCAAAAAGAGCAAAGGTCCCAAAATGGAACCTTGGGGGACTCCATGCAAAATTTCACCCCAATTTGAATATGTGTTTAAATTGTAATATTTGGATTGTAATCTTATTCTTTGAAATCTTCTTTCCAAGTATGTTATTAATTTGTGAATTAAGCCCAAAATACCATAAAACTCTAATTCAGATAACAAAATCTTATGGTTAACGCAATCAAAAGCTTTTTCTAGAACACAGAATATTCCTCCCACATTATGTCCATCATTCAGAGCCATTAAAATCCAGTCAAGTAATCTACAAATGGCTTTGTCAGTTGAAGAGTTTGCCCTAAATCCAAATTGTTCATTTATCAAAATATTTACCAAGTGCTTATAAAGCCTCCTATATATCACTTTCTCTATCACTATGCTACAAGCCAGAACATCATGGGTTTGATTCCCAATTATGTCATTGCATTGTTCAATTTACCTAATTCTTCCAGCAGCACTATGGCCGTGGGGTCACTTCAGCCTCTAATAAAAATGAGTATCTTTACCTTTTTTTAACTACACACCACACATTTCAACTGTAAACAGTCATCCTCAAGCGATATACATACAAATCAGCTGAAAATGTCTATACTCTTAAGTGCATATCTGATAAAACATAAAAATTGGAGACTAAAACATTAGGTCACATCTAACTTAATTTTTACAAATTTCCCCTTTATTCACATTCACTAACTTAAACATCTCTCACATATACTTCCTGTACACTCACCTGTTCCTTCAAATGTTTCACCATCAATGTTAACAGACATGGTAAACTTGGCATATGGTTCACCATCTTCTGAGACACATTCAAACTTGATGCCTGGCCGGAGCTCATTGAGAAGCATGACAGGGCTCTTATCTCCTGGATGAATGGGTAACCTGGGAGAACTGTTGCGACGAGCTGGAGGAAGCATGGGGTGGATGGACACGCCATTACCATTCTGAACTGCAGGTGCTTCAGATGCAGCTGTGGGTTCTATATCCCCTGCACTTGTACTGCTGTTGTTGCCTGGGGGCTGAAAAGTATTAAAAAGGGACCCTTCGCTCTCTGTTACATCACTTGTAAAATCCAGGTCTGTAATGTGCATATTCATTGCCTGCTGGGCCTCTGGAGCATTCTTGAACTGCACAAAGGAACGGAGGGCAGCCTCAGCGGCAGCGTGTTTGGCCAGCTTCTTAGAGCGACCCTGCCCTTCAAACATCTGACCGTTCACCTAAAAAATATATGGAAAAGTTAGTAATTACATTTGTTCAAACTTTATAATGACTTTCAACACAAAAGTATGGCCATCTCTCCCTCTGCCACACTGCACTGTGTGAACATATGTGTTTGCATCCGTGCATCTTTCTCCATGTATTACTGCATATGTCTGAATGAGCATGCATGTTGGGGAAGAAGAAGCCAAAACAAGTAAATTAACTGCGAGTGAAAAACATTTCATTCATTAAAGACTTTTTTTTTATTCTTCTGACTATGAACTAAAATTTCTTGGCAAATATAATGAAACTGCATAGCCCATGAAGGATGCTAAAACAACCCTTTGGCTCTGGAGCTGCACTACTGCACTAAACCCCAAGAAATTCAGTGGTGCCTCACCACACAGCTTTATAGGCCGTACCACCTGCACCAGGGAATGACAACTAACTGGCAGCTGCAGCTGAACCATACAGATCACAATCCAGAGATCACCCAACTTGGCCATATTCATGGTATTCCACAACCCCTGAAGACAAATGCTTGGATAAAATTTGAAGTTACACCATAGCTTCTTCCTTCTGTATCATTTCCAATTCAGTGTTTACTGATCATCCTATCATTTAACACTGTATAACATGAGCTACCAATAATGTTGTCAAATAATAATCAATAAATAAATAAATAAAAATTAATTAATAACTCTAAAATACTTTTTGCTTAATTCAGTACAACTATCAAACCATGAGGGATATTGATGTATTTCTTGCATTGAAAATGGCACCTCAGACCAAAGGAACACATCCTGATCAATGGAGGCAGGTTTCAAGAAGCTGAATATGGCAACATTTTATACAAAACTTTTTTTCTATGGTGAGATCAACCTACCTACCTACCACTTGGCACTACAGCCCTGGGTGAGCCTTGGCCTCCTCTACAACCAGTCTCCACTGCTCTATATTCCTTATCTTCTCTATCAATCCTTTAAACTTCATCTTCTTCAGGTCATTCCAACATCATCTAGTCATCTCACTCTGGGTCTTCCTTTTCTTCTTTTGGAATATAGCCTTCCTTTTAACACTCTCTCTGGCAGTGAATTATCTTCCATTCTTTCGACATGTCCCAACCATCTTATCCTCTGTGACTTGATAAATCTTACTATATCTTCTCCTTTCAGTAATGTGTTTATCTCTTCATTGTATCTTAACCTCCATATATTATTTCCCCCTCACTGGTTCATATACGAGTATTTTGCATATTATTTCTCTCTCGAACATCCTCAGTGCATTCTCTTCTGTTACTGTTAAGGTCCATAGCAACAGGTCCTATTAATGTTGTGTATACTTGTAGCTTAGCTGCTCTCGATATTATTTTACTTTTAAATGTACTAAGATTTGTGAAGTAGGCCCTGTTTCCTGGTTGTATCCTTTCTTTAACACAATTATCATTTCTATTGCCATTATTGATCATATTTCCTACATATTTAAAACTATTCACTCCTGTAAACAATTTCCCTTCTACTATTAAATCTTGTGGCTTCCTTCTACTTTCTGATGTTGACATAATCATATATTTTGTTTTTCTTTCATTTACTTCTAATCCTGTCTTCCCTGATTTTTCTTCCATTTTCTTATATATCTCAATTATCATTTCTCTGTATCTATGACAATTATGACAATGTCATTCACATATGTACATATTTGGCTTGATTTTGTATAAATTGTTCCTCTCTGATCAATACCCTTTATTACACTGTGTAATGTCACCATGAATAGTACTGCTGATAAACCATCCCCTTGTTTGACTCCAGCATTAAATTCGAATTTTGCACTTAGTTTATTATTTATTTTAACTTTTGCTTGTGTTATATTCATTGTCATTCGAGTTAGCCTAATTAATTTATCTTGTGTTTTAAACTGTTTCATCACTTCATAAAGTCTTTCTCTGTTAATGCTGTCGAATGCTCATCTAAAGTCTACAAATAGCATATGCAAGTCCATGCTGTATTCATAATACTTTTCCATCATTTGTCTTATTACAAAGAGTTGGTCAGTTGTACTTCTATTTGGGCGAAATCTGCATTGATACTCTCCAATGATATTTTCTGTTAGCATCTTTAACCGTCCATTTATTATACTAGATAATATCGTATATGCTAAGTTCAGTAATGTGATTCCTCTGTAATTTCCATGTTCTAGTTTATCTCCTTCCTTTAGAATGGGGCATATGATTCCTGTATTCCAACTTTGTGGCATTTCTTCTGTTTTCCATATCATAGTGATTAGTTTGTGCATAGTATCTGATATTCCTTCTCCTCCATACTTAATCAATTCTGCTGTTATACTGTCTTCTGGTGCTTCATTATTCTTTGTTTTTTGAATACATTCTTCTATTTCCTGACATTTTGGTGTATTTACCTCCACATCTTCTTCTATTACTCTTCTTCCTGTTCTTATTTCTTCTTTGTCATTTTCATTCCTTTCTCTTTCTTCATTTTCTTTTTCGATGTTTAGTAGTTCTTTAACGTATTATTCCCATTGTCGTAGTACCTTCCCTTCTTCTCTTATTATTTCACCATCTTTGTTTCTACAGCCATTATTTCTTGGTTGAAATCCTTTTTTTTTGAGGTTACCTATTGCCCTATAAAATTGTCTTCCATTTCCTCATTCTTTCCTTTTTCTTCTTCTTACATATTCTATTTTCTTTCCTTCTTAATTCTTGATATCTTTCACAGTTTGAACTTGTTTCTCTTTGTAGCATTCTTTGTCTAGCATTGTTCTTCTCTGATATTACATTTGCACACTCTTCATCGAATCATTCTTTACTATGTTGATTTCCTTCTTTGCCCACTGGGTGACTCTATCAGTAGTTGAACTACCGCTGGCATAGCTCTCCAGGTCACAGAGTCATGCAAGTCCCACCACCACAACAAGGTGGAGACACCTTTGAGGGGTGCTGAGGTCAACAACACAGATATTATTGAGTCTAAAGGCGCGCCCACATTACTAATGCTCCTGCTGGTGCTTGTGTGACTCGCTATGCTCACGAGTAATGTGGACGACATAACAAGTCACGAGACAAGCAAATTTTAAATTTTAAATTTAAACACTATAGCCAATAAATTAAAATATGACTACAGCATATACACACTATGAGTAAATATACGGATCCTCACGCACCAAAGCCTGGTGAGCAAATGAAGTAGTGTGGACGAAGATTTACGAGCACAAGTAAAAGCCAGACGAGTCTCCCAATGAGCACATGCCTGGTGAGCACAAGTAATGTGGACGCGCCTTAAGAGGCAATTATCTTAAATTTAAATATTTAGGTACATTTATAATAACAATCAAAACCCTCCAGCTGCATGGCCCTGGGGTTGACTCAGCCTTTAACAGAAAGGAGTACCAAGAATCTTCCTAGGGGGTAAGGGGTGGCCGGCACATAAGGCTGACAACCTTACCTCCATCTATGAGCCAAATGTCTAGATAATGTGGCACCCTCAACGTCTCACAGCCCTATAGGCCTCCATAGCCTGTTACAGGGATAGATTTACCTTTTTTTCAATAACAACAGGATGGCACTGTACACTGCATCAGAATTACAGCGTGAAACATGTGCAAAAGTTCAGGTTCAGGAAACTGGGCTGAACATTATAATACTATCATCCAACATAGTAATTATCTCATTGAATGAATTCACTTGTTCCTTGTTCATGTACACTCAATCCCAATTACAGTAACTATAAAGTGGCCCTAGAGGTCCACCTATCTAGTATATAAAAAAAACCATCCCCATAAAAGGCCTGTTGTCAACCCAAGCTGAAGAGCTACATCTTGGCTACATTTAGCGATCCCTGACGTTACTCAAATGAAGAATGTCCACATAATGCACTGTACAGGCACCACAGGCAAATACTGCAGCTGGCCATGGCCATGAAGATCAGGTGATGAAACCTGACTGCCTCTGTCACTGTTTTGAAGAGTACTAACTTACTGATGATGTACCAGCACTCCTCGTCAATCTCCCACAAACATGGAACAGATGACATTTAAACACAGGCACTGCTGACGTGTCTTCAAAAACCAATACCCACTGGTGGCACTGCCAACAGTACAATAATACATTTCTAAGAGTGCCATCTCTTGGGGTGTGACGGCAAACTGAGTGTTAAAAATTTACTGACAGTCACAGGAAAACACTGCCTCCATTTTCTGGGTAGAAGAGTAAGCCAAGCAAGATGCATCACGTTTCTCCAAAACGTCTGTGAATTTTCACCAGACTGCATGACATTACATCCCATTAGACTGTACTCACTGCTGCGAGAGCCTCAAATATCGCTCCTGACAGACTTTAACTAAATACTGCTTTCGTGCAGTTCTTTAATATAATTCATTGCCATTCACCAGCATCAGTGGTAACATACTAACTTATTGTGTTCCAGCTTATATGCCATTAGTCAGTGCTTTCCTTATAGAACAGTCTTTGCAAGTTGATTTATGCTGTATTAACTATCATTTTACACAGTTTTACATAACACTGCATGTATAACTCCTTAGCACAGCTTAAAATTTAAAATGATGATTTAATGTAACATCATTACATTAAAAAATATTGTAAAATTCTGAACATATATTATTTATGGCCGGTCATGGTAGCTGAGTGGTCTAAGGCATGTCCTGCCTTCGCTCGCCTGGAAGCCGGGATTGTGGGTTTGAATCCCACACAAGGCATGAATGTTTGGTGTGGGTATATGTTCACTCTGTGTTCGTGTTGTCCTGTATTTAGGGCCTTGCAACAGGCTGATCACTCATCCAAGGAGTCCTACCGTCTGTAAAAATGATCATGAAACTGAGAAATCAGCCCTATGCTCCACAGTGGGAGTGTGAGGAGAAAAGAATATTACTTATACATTTCTTTATTTATTTATTTATAAGTTCTCACAATGTCATTAGTATCTCGTACTACATAGTGTTGGAATGTAACATAAATGGAAAATAACAAATGGAAAGGATGCAGAAGGAAGTGATTATGGCCTGACTGAGGTACTACCCCAGCATTTGCCTTGAGGGGCTTTGAAAACCATGAAAACCCTGTCAGGCCAATTGGTGTCCCCAGCCAATATTAATCTGGGTACCTCCAAATGTAAGTCACAAGTTTTTCTATTGTGCCAACTTGCTTGGGGGCCCTAATGCACTTGGCTTTCTTACAGGTTATTAATAATGGTTTTCAGTATCAAGACTCTATAGCATCGGATGGTAGGATGACGGATAAATGATGAACCTGATGTATTTTCAGGGAAGGAGTCATGGCCTGATTACACTATCCTGTCATTTCCCTAAGTGGACTGACGAAAATAATGAAATCCCTGGTCAGGATACCTGGTGTCCTGGCTAATATTCAAACTAAGCAGCACCTCTGAAACATGAGTCTACATCACTACCTCCACACCAACTTGTTCAGTACTAACAACACACAGCTCTTTCTTGCTATAATCCACATACAATTTCTATTAATTTCCCTTGCAGTTTTCCTGTTACTCGAATGACATTTATAAATTATCAGTATATGCACTTGTTCTCAAGTTATACAGTTATGTGCAAAGCCTGAACTGAAAACTGTGGGTTGTAAATAAATTCCCCTTTCGTTTCCCTTAACAGCACATCAATATCCAAATTAAAATTAATTGCATTCTGATTAAGTCACAAACTCCTTCAAAATTAAAGCCCCCAAAATCAGGATTCCAAAGTTTGTACTCAGTCACTTGGTGTCAAGTTCTGTTATGATTAATGTTGTGTTCAAGATCCCCCCCCCCCACTAATGGCCCTTTATAACATACATGTAAATGGAGCCTTAAGACTGTAGATTCAGCACTGGGAATAAAGACATTTTATTCAGAGTATTCACATACTCATGGCTGTTCTATGCTCCAACATATGTGTACATGGTTCATAAATGTCTGCTGAAATATTTTCTGAACAGTCTACTGTTCAGGCTGAAATGCTGTGATGTGCTAAATTTGAAAGGATACAATTTTAAAAAGGGTGTTTATGCATGTAGATTTGCACATACAGTTTGCACACTACAGAACATCAAAAGACAGAAGAATCAGTTCAACAAAGTCCATCCTGCTCAGCTGTGTGACATTTTCTTCAAAGAATGCCTCCTGTTGTGATATTCTATAAATTACTTTTAAATTGTTCCTGTCTCAACACAACAACTATCAAAACTCACTCACTCACTCACACTTCACCGTGCAACAATGAGTTTATTGGTCTTATAGTGTTACAATGCGCTCCTAAAGCCATCATCAGCCAGTACAATTTAAAGAACACTTTTAAACTACTGAATTGTGCATATTTGATATATGATTTAAAAGACATATTTTGTATGTGACTTAATAATTTTAAATATCTGATAGGATATATTAACTAAATAGAAAACCAGACACACATAGTAGTAAGTATTTAACACTTTGCGGACCGGACGCCTAGGCCTAGGCGTTTGGGTTTTAAACATGGCAGACCGGTCGCCTAGATTTAGGCTTTTAGGACACGTGTCTGTAAAAGTACTGCGTAGCTGACCTTCAGAATGTTTGTTTTCCGAGTCAGCAACGTGACCACTCTCTATTCCCCTCTTACTCTAAAGAAAAGTCCCTTTGTTCCAGTTGAAGCTTCTATATGTGAGGCAAGATATTCTCAGTGTCAACATGGCTCAGAGACAAAAGCAGTTGAAGGCCGCGCGAGCTCTCGGAGAAGAAGAAATCTGTGATTTGATCTCCGATGAGTTATCTGACTTGCCAACTGCTTCGTCTTCTGATAGCGAGGGCAGTGTCAGTGGCAGTGACAGGGACCCCCAAAATATTGTGACCAGAAGAGAAAGTGAAAGTGACAGTGAGAGCTCCGATGAAAGTGCGAGTGCTAGCATTGCGGGGATAGCCACATGGGGTAAAGTGGACAAAACACCCACTTTGGGAAAGTTTACTGATGATCCAGGGGTGAGACAAATGCCATTGGACCCTACGCAAGTGTCTGAAGTAGCTGAACTGTTTTTTTGGATTCCTTGGAGGGGAAGGCTTCGTTTTTGAATGTATAATCCTGGGAAACTCACAAAGTATGGCCTACTTGTTCGTATAGTCATGGAAAGGACTTTAGGCTATATTGGAAATTTAGAAATTTATTCCGGTGAAGGCAAGAAATTGCAAGAAACTATTCTTTCCATTTTGGATCCCTATCTGGATCAAAATTATCATGTTTATCAAGATAATTTTTATAACAGTGTGGCAACAGCAGAATACCTACTTTCAAGGAACGTACATATCTGTGGTACAATTAGGGTGAACAGAGGCCTTCCTCCAGATCTGAAAGAGGAATGTAAATCCCTGAAACGTGGTGACACCACATTCAGGAGGAAGGGGGACATTCTTCTTCAGTCCTGGAGGGATACTCGCGTTGTGAATATGATTTCCACTATTCACAATTCGAGCATGGTCAATGTTCAAAGATGACACGGGCAAGTGAAGAAGAAGCCTCTTTGTATTTCTCAGTACAATATGTTCATGAAGGGAGTTGATAGAGCCGACCAATACTTGGCCTATTATTCCCTTCCTAGGAAAACAGTAAAATGGACGAAGAAAGTTGCCTTGTGACTTATAAATTGTGCCCTTTTCAATTCATTTTTGGTTTTCAAAGAGCTAAACGAAAATTCAACTTTGAAATACAGGGCATTTCTCATGAATGTGGCAAAAGCCTGGGCTACAGACCTCACGGTGGCGGCAGAACCTGAGTCAGACACAGACATAGTACGACCGGGACCATCTACTCCCACCCCATGGAGGCCTCATATGGACCCCCTTGGCCGACTCTCGGGTGATATGCGGAAACATACCCTCGTGAAAATTGTGTTGGGCGAACAATTGACGGGGAAGTATCCTTCTAGGCAGTGCCGTGTGTGCACTGTGCACAAGAAGCGAAGCAAGACTTCCTACGTCTGCAAGTTCTGCGTCATGCCTCTTCACAGAGGGAATGTTTCCAGAAATATCACACTCTCAAGCACTTCTAGGAGCTCTGGTAGGTCTTCTCCAAAAATTTTAGTTCATAAAATTAATTAGGAGATTTTATATTAATTTTTAAAGTGAACAGTGCACAAGTTAGGGTAGTAGGTTTAAAAATGCCGGTCCCCAGGGTGATTTAAATATTTAAATCAGCGGTCCATGAAGTGTTAAGTTATATGAGACAATACACAGTGTGACAATTAAGTTCCTGAACTGAGGCCTTAAAAAGTACACAAAAAAAGATAAAAAAATAGTTATTATAACCATCACTCAACAGAGTCCCTGCTTGCTTCTGCACAACATTTACATTGTTCACAGAACAAACTGAATGCCTGAGAAAATGCTTCTTCCCAAGTCTCCTTCAGTTCTCTCATCACAGTCTGTTGGATCGATCAAACAGCATCAAATCTTGTCCATTTCATCGCAAATTTTTAATTTTTCCAGCACAAATTCATGATGAATGATACCTTTAGCATCAGAAAATGCAGTCAACATTGCTTTCACTTGCGAATTTTTGCATTCTCACTTTCTGAGCTTCTCTGAACCTTTTATGCCATTCAAACACACTTGTTCTCGATAAACATTCTTCACCATATGCACTTTTCAACGTTTCAAATGTTTCAGTAGCTGTTTTCTTTAATTCTACACAAAACTTAAATGTTGCTCTTTGTTCCATTCTGAAACTTTCGACACAACAAAAAGCTAACTTCACAAAAACAACTGTAATCTCCATATGCATTAACCAAACATGTTTAAACTTGCACATCAGATAAATAAATGTTCTCTCTTACTAGTCCTGTTCATCCCTGATAGATGGTGTTAGTAGTATTACTGTAAAAGCATCAGTTTGGAAACTTTATTGTCATACTGTGTATACGGAGGGCAATTCAATAGTTCAAAAATGTTGATTAAATTGTACTGCCTGATGATGGCTTTAGGAGCAAAAACATGTAGCACGGTGAAGTGTGAGTGACATCTGATAGCTATTGTGTTGAGACAAGAACAATTTAAAAGTAACTAATGTGTGATATTTGTTGGTTTTAGAAATTTATAAACATGAGTGTTCAATGAATTTTACACGTGGATTTGAGTTAATATTCTTTCAATATTCGGGTTACTCATCGCCTAAAAGGTCAGGATAGAATGACACATCTGAGTTTTGGTTTTAGGAAATTCTGGCTAAGGCTACAGATATGCTGACAATATCTGATGACTTCTATTTTCATCTCAGCAGATACATCATTACACAGAATTTCTGGTACTTGGCTGAAGAGGATCCTGCGCAAATGCATAAAGATCATATGGGATTCTTCCACATCTTGACATATTAGATTCTAAACTAAAAATACTTTCTCTCTGCACAGCGCAGACTGTGCTTTACACTTTGTGAACTGGACGCATGATATCAGGCTTTTAGGACACATTAGGTTGTAACACACTATACCTTGCTCTGGCGCCATGCAACTGCAATGAATACTACGTAATAAATCTTCAGAATGTATGCTAGGTATTCAGTAACTTGACCTGGCTGGCTAGGGTACCTACTCCAAAAGAAAATAAACTTTGCCCCTTCCAGCTGTTTATGTACCAGGCAGGAAGTTAGTAGAGGGGAATATGTTTCAAGGACAAAAGTGGTTGAAGGCAAAGCATCTCTCTTATTTGTTTTCCATTGAGCTATCTGACATGCCTTGTGGAGGAGTAGTGATTAGTGACTCATGCAGTGGAAGTGACAGGGGTCAACAAAGAATTGTGGCCACAGATAATAAAAGTGAAAGTTGCCTTGTGGCTTATAAATTGTGCCATTTTCAATTCATTTTTGGTTTTCAAAGAGCTAAACGAAAATTCAACTTTGAAATACAGGGCATTTCTCATGAATGTGGCAAAAGCCTGGGCTACAGACCTCACGGTGGCGGCAGAACCTGAGTCAGACACAGACATAGTACGACCAGGACCATCTACTCCCACCCCCTTGGCCGACTCTCGGGTGATATGCGGAAACATACCCTCGTGAAAATTGTGTTGAGCAAACAATTGACGGGGAAGTATCCTTCTAGGCAGTGCCGTGCGTGCACTGTGCACAAGAAGCAAAGCAAGACTTCCTACGTCTGCAAGTTCTGCGTCATGCCTCTTCACAGAGGGAATGTTTCCAGAAATATCACACTCTCAAGCACTTCTAGGAGCTCTGGTAGGTCTTCTCCAAAAATTTTAGTTCATAAAATTAATTAGGAGATTTTATATTAATGTTTAAAGTGAACAGTGCACAAGTTAGGGTAGTAGGTATAAAAATGCCGGTCCCCAGGGTGATTTAAATATTTAAATTGCCGGTCCACAAAGTGTTAATAAAAGTTTCAGCAGTCAATGCACATTGATTGACAGGCCAGTTTGCCATGGCTGCAGGAACTGCAGGTACATGTGAGTGGGTTCCTACACATACAGCTTCCACTTCTACAACTGTATATTCCAACACAATCCATCACAGTAGAAGACTTCATACATACTTTTATTTGGGTTTGTAATTTAAACCCATGCAGAAGCATACATGTGCTAAAGCTTGAGAACACAACAGAGCAACCAAGCATTTCAGTCAAATGTTAAAAATGAGTATTGCTGTATCATATATGGAGAACAAGAAGGTGGCAGAGGAAGAGGAGGGAGATGAGGTGGAGGAGATGGGAGTGAAGGAGGAGTTGTCATCATCATGGATCAAGCCACAGCTGGTCATGTTGGTCTCTCCATCTTAACTGTGGGCACCATATGTTTTGTTGTCTTACTGGGCTGTATGTTAAAATTGTATTATACAGGATGTCCCAGACTTCAGGGGGGGTGTTCCTTATGTTAAAGTATGCCGATATAACCCAAAATACCTATGTCCAAAGTTGAACGGTTACGGAGATAATGACCCGAGAAAAGTGTGGTCTTCTGGCGGGTCGACGCACTGTACCTGTCAGCTGACAAGTCTTATCGATGTTTGTCCTTGAGTGTCGTGATGATGGCTCACACTAGCCACATACACTCGCATACCAGAATGCGCAGTCATCCATGTGTCATGTATAGTGCTTGGAACCCTAACGACAACTATGACATGGCGTGCAAATTTTCTTGTACTTCAATTTAATGGCTTCATGTCATTCACAAGTTAGTTTGATGTTATGTACATTATTAACATTACAGAAACCACATATTCCTGGCAGTTTTAATGTGTATTTGGTAATCATCAAGTGTGTAACACCTGTCAAAGTTTCACACTTCTCTGACCATTATCTCCGTAACCGTTAAACTTTTGACATAGGTGTTTTGGGTTATATCGGCATACTTTAACATAAGGAACACCCTCCCAAAGTCTGGCACATTCCTCCTGGGATTCCCTGTATTTTCTTTGAGAGGTTTCCAGTTAAAACCTCAGCTCACAGAAGACGAACCAAATTATTTGAGGTTTATCTTAGTTTTCCTCAGTCCTTCTAGGAAAATGCCAGGACAGTACCTCAAATTTGGCCAAAACCACTTACTGCATGTTAAGTGATGTTGCCACACGCCGACGTACAGCTGCCACGACTATTGCTCGAGGTGAGTTCTTTATCTCGTGGATACGGGTGCTTCAGATATGGGAGTGCAACACACTTCAGGGTACATGAATCCGGGGTCTCCAGAACACACCGTATATTAATTTAAAATTTCATACAGTGATCAATCTTTATATTATTCCTCCAAGCTAGCTGCTCTGTTACACTTAACCTTTTTACACCAATTTGCCCCCAGCTCACTGACTGTACACGCCACTTGCTAGCTACCCTCCTGTAACTCCCTTTTTCAAATGTCCACCTCCACTCCCTGTAAACAACTGCCCTCTCTTTACAAGTCCCCCAGTGGGCATAAAAAAAACAAGGAAATAAAAAGAAAAAGCCAAGGGTCGAGCCCAGCATCTGTCCTAAGTTCGTATTTTTCTAGATGCCCATAAACTTTTTAGGTTTTCAATGCACACAAAAGCAGGGAACCCAAGACCCCTCCTGGCCGGTCTCGCACAATGTCAGTTCATGGGTTTATGACACTAGGAGCAAACTGGTGATGTTAGGGACAACAGTGACACCCTAAGCCTAAGGAAGACAATAGTTGAATTGCTACTAGACGGTCCGGGGATATCTTGCCCGAGGAGCGTCTCTCAGGGAGTGAAACAACACATAAATTCGTCATGCTCTCAATTACATAATTTTGGCGAGGGACGTACGGTTACAGTGAATATCAGAGTAGCAGCATCAGCGAGTGAGTTAAGGTTCTATAAGATCCACCTACCTCAACAGAAATTGTGAATACTGGAGCATGGACAGGTCCGGTCATGCTCACTGTGTTGTATATCAGTCCTGGCCGGAGCTCATTCAGGGCACACACAGCATTCTTTGGTTGACACTGTGCTGGACTTCGCTTTCTCTTCTTTTTGGATGGGCCCACCACTACAAGAAGCAGAACCACATGCATGTAAGCATGATCCCTTGCATCCACCCAGACAGCCATCCAGGCCTTAGGACAAAGAGTTTCATATACAGTAATTGAGTGAGTGGATGTAACATTATGTAATTTGGTACAAGTATATTGATATTTCAGAAGAATAGACTACCTCCTTCTTCAGGGTCGAAAAGTAAGCAAAGCAAAGGCCGCACCATAGCTCAAGCGGTTAGTCGCTGGCTTCCCACCACGGCTGCCCAGGTTCCATCCCGGGGCTGGTCAAGTGGGATTTGTGGTGGAAAAAGTGGCACTGGGGCATTTTCTCCAAGTACTTCAGTTTCCCCTGCCAAACTTCATTCCACCAAATTCTCCATCATCATACTCACCCAGGGCAGGTACAATAGGCCAATCAGTGGCCCCCATGCCGAGTGGATCCAGCTGGACTCCACCCCCCCACTCAGCGAATTAAAAAAAAAACAAAGCAAAGAACCAGCAATACGCAGGCAGCAAGCAGAGTGTTACAGCTCAGAATACAGTACCCTTCACAGATACCAAAGAGAGGACCTCAGATCCAACACAATAAGGGTATAGTCCTAAGCAGTTAAACAAACAAACCCACATTTTAATGACTTTTTTAGATCTTTATCAAACAGTATTTTAAAGAATACCATCTTCATGACTTCTACACCTTTCAACTGACAGAACACGAGAGCTTACAAATCTTTTAAGTGCTCTGTAGTTCATATCAGAAATGTCATTTGCTTATATTGCCAAGGGATAGCTTTGAAATCAGACACACAAATTAACAGATAAAACATTTAAACGATTAATTGGTTTCCTAATAATAATCTCAATCAATTTCTGTAAATCCCAAATTACTGTGACAAAACGTCATTCCCATACTTTCACATAATGTGCCAACACTGCCTTCTACAGGGTGGGGCATAACAATGAGACATACATACTTCATATTGGTGCTGTGGGTCAGTGGTTCAAGTATGAAACGTGAATTATTATGTTTCGACTGCGAGAACTTATTTTGAAACTACATCTACTGTAATAATTTGCCAAGTCTACCCAACCTGTGACTTGGGCAGTGGTTGTTGGGAACCAGATGGGTAATTTGATCGGCTAATATCAGGGTGATCATTGTGATTATGGAAGGTTAGATTAAGTAACTCAGCTGGTAAAACTCTCCCTCTGTCTTGAGGGTCGCAATACAGGGAAACAAACCGGTCAGGCATCATACAACAAGTCACAATGATTCACTCTGATAATAAAGCGCATTTATTGACATGCAATTCCGTGTGATTATGGACAGGGTTTGGACTGGTAATGGGATTTACTGGACATTTACAGAACATAACTATAAATAATTATGAGTCTCACTGAGTTACACACGCCAAAGATCAGTGTAACTACAGCACACATAAATTCTTCTCAGTCTTCCTTAGCCGTTGTTTGGTAGCGGCTTTAATGATGGACGTTCCCCTTCTCTGGGTTCCCAAACTGTCCCTGGCCTCAGCCACCAGCTTCTCACTTCTAACAACGGTTACTCTCAACTGACTCAACTATGACTGAACTATTTAGTCCTCATTACATAGCCCGAGCACAGAGAGCACTGAAAATGTCTCTTCTTACTGGGGAAACAACTTGTCCACAGAGCTGTTCCCTATAAATTGCTACTGTATTCTCGCGTGTTACTTGGCAATTGGTCTACATATCACAATATTTTGTACTTCACCAGTTTATACTCTTTCAACAGTGAACTACTTTAGTCACAGAAGTGACAAGGCATGATCATGTATGTTGATCAATTTGTAGCTCACATCAATTTAACCAATAAATGGGTTTATAACAAATATTTCTGGAGTCCCCAGACATGTTTGTTGACTTATAAAGTTGAAACAAAAAGCCCCCAGATTACGTGTGTCAATGACACATAGCCCTCCAAATGTGGCATCTCATGCAAAAACAAAGTCCAAGTGCCAATTGGCTGAGATCGAACATAGTTCGTAATTCATTCATAATTTATTTAACATCCATAAACTGTTACACAAGTAAAACTGGACAAATCAGTTAAAACCATCTAAATACTACAAGACAACAACTCTTAAAAGTGTACAAAATGATACACAAGACAAAGAACAATACAATCAGTCATCTTAGGATCATTGTCCCCCGCTGAAGCTTAGCAACCACAGATAACAATTAACTTCAAACAGTGATTACAGCAATGTACTCAATGTCACGGAGGTCATTCAGAACACATAAGGCATGGACACTAAATTGCAATTATCATGCCAGTTCTTCCTTAATATGTTTCAGTTCATGTACTGTGCATCTCTTGCAGCAGCCTACAGCCTTGTGTCCCACCTTGTGAATTCATACATTTCAACTATTTAAGTGTTCTAATTTTTATAACTAAAATCAATTTCTCTCCAGTTTTTTCACATATACTTTCAGTTTTACTTTTCAGTCTTTCAGTATTTTCTGAGGTGATAAGGGTTCCAAGGACAAACAGTCTGGGAAACATTAACTCACTCCATACAGCTAAGTCCTTGAGAAGCCAACAGATGCTCAGATGCTCAAAAAATTCCCTACATTTCATGGAACCGGATGGCTCAGTACCGTGCTCACAAAAGCCCACCACTGGTTACTCAGCCAGATGAATCTAGTTCATAACCCCCATTCTATTCCTCTAAGACCGGCCCATTTTAAAATTATTCTACCATCTATGTCTTCATCTTTCCTTCTCACTTTCCCACCAAAACTTCATATGGATTCCTTTCTCTCTCATTTATGCTGCATTCCTCGCTCATCTCATTATCCTAATTACACCTCGCAAGAGGTACAAGCCATGAAGCTCCTTGCTGTGCACTTTTCTCCAGCCTCCTATTATTTCATCCCTCTTGGTTATAAATAATTTCCTCATCACCCTTCAATCAGACACCATCAATCAATGTTCCTCCCTTGATGTCAGAGACCAAGTTTCATATTCATATAGAACTACACGTCAAATTAGAGTTTCATATATTTAAATCTTTCCAGTTTTAGACAACTGCTCTTACTTTCCTCAATAATAAAATCTTGATTTTTTACTGTCATTCTGTATCTGACTGAAAAACAGTCCTCTGAAAACTGCTGCATCTGAAACACACTCTAAGTACTACTTCAATTTCATGAATGAGGACTGTCACAAATGAATCTAATCATCAGCCCAATCAGGGCTTTTCTGGTGACAAAAACAGCTTCAGCATTAAAAATGTCACTCTGCCCTTACCACACTTTGACCTAACAAAATACATGGACTTGTGGTGACTCTGAAAATGTCATTCACCAAGACATCAGCAACAAGGAATTAAGTCAGGACACAGATGAGAACTTCATGAAACTGTGAAATTTTCTGTATAGCTCAAGATAGTATGTTTTCACGCATGAATTTATTATTTTGATTTGTTATTTCAACAATCTTCAATTTTTATTTCAACGTGATTATAAAAGTTTGACACTATTATTTTTGTTTATTCCCTTTGTTTGGCTACAAACTTGCGCCACTAAACATGCTCTGTGACATGCAATATTTCCTTCAGCATCTCGTTTAATTTTGAAGACCCATTTTGACTTCACTACTGGCTTATTCAACGGTCTGTCTACTATTCTCCATGCTTCGTTTGTTTGAAAAGCTTCTAGCTCCTGTTGAATAGCTTCTTTCCATTTAGATTTATCGGAGCTTGACAGTTCCTCTTCATATGTGACTGGTTATGACTCCTCATCTTTATGCATGGCTAAGTAGGTAATAAATTCTGAAAATTCTTTCTGTTTCCTGTTCAGAAGTGGATATCGTCTTTCTTCTGAATATCCTGGTAACTGTTCTAAGCCATTCATCTCTAATGGAATTTCATTTCCTTCATTTTCTACTTGTGTTTGTTCTTCTTCAGGGTTTTGTTCTTGCAAAATCATTGTTTCATCTTGTGAGTCAAGGTAGAAACTTGACAACTCTGGAAGAATCTCTTTAAGCTGAAATCCTTTCTCACTCTCTTTCTTGTTTATAATTTCTTCTTCCAGAAATTCTACATCTCTTGCCTTAACTATTAGAGACGGACTGAGGGGATCTGATAATCGATAAGCTTTACTTTCTTCACTATGTCCCACAAAAATGTATTTCTTGCTCACGGCATCCAACTTTTTTAATTTCTCTGATTGTACATGAGCATAAGCTGGACATCCAAAAATTTTTATGTGGGAGAGATCAATCTTTTCTCCTGTCCATATTTCTTCAGGCAATTGGTTCTTTAGTTTCTTGTGAGGTGATCTGTTCAAAAGATATACGACTGTTTGTGCTGCTTCAGCCCAGAAAATTTTGTTGCAGCCGGAATCATACAACATACATCTTGTTGTTTCTAAAATACTGTGATTAGCTCGTTCGGCAGTTCCATTTTGTTGTGGGTTATATGGCACAGAGAATTCCCCTTTAACTCCCTTTTGTTTTAACATGTCATTGAACAATCTGCTGCAAATTTCACCACCATTATCAGAATGAACAGCTCTTATAGTCAATCCAGTTTCTGTCTCAACCATTTTCATAAATTCTTTAAAGGTTTCATATGTGTCACCTTTTTGTTTCAAGAAACAAATGAAGATTTTTCTACTATGATCATCCACAATAGTCAAAAAATATTTAGCATTCCCATAAGAGGGCACTTCAAATGGCCCAACCAGTTCTAAACGTAATAGATCAAGTATCCTTTTTGACCGTTTTTTCTTTGTTTGTAGGAAAGGCTTCTTTGTCATCTTGCCTTCCAGGCATGGAACACATTCCTTTGACTGATCTTCTTGTTCTTGAAAATCAATGTCACTAGCTAAACCTTTTTTTAAGCAACCGCATGCTAACCCTATTTAAATGCCCAAAACGCCTATGCCACAACAGTTGTTCATCAGTTTGCTAGTTACCTGCAACCTGTTCATTATTTACAATATTAGTACAAGATTTCTCACATTTGTCATT